TAATACAGACCCCAAATGCAAGTAGAATTAACGTATGATGGTCAGCCATGAAATGAACTTCTAATATTGATTTTCTCAAAAATAAAGCCTCGATTGAAAAACTTTTATTCCACAGTTTCGATTTATTATTTTGCTATTTCTTTATTCCACTTTCTATATATTATTCTACATATATATAATAACACTGTATCCAATTGATATCTATTTTTATAATGTCTCCTGTTCACACAATTCTAATTTCTCGATATAACAAGTTTGATAGAAGAAAAACGATAATGTTAAAAAGAAATTGCAACGATTTTCAACGAAGAACCGTCCACCTGCTGTGTCAGCGTTCACGACAATACACTCTCATTTCTCGGTTCTCTTTCCACCTGCTTGTAACAAATATTGATTCCATTTAACCTATCGACGCTACCTTCTACGCGACTTTTGCTGATTGCAACACCTTTCTGATTATTTATCATCCCCGCTTGTTCCACACCCGGGCGCAAAACCGCTGAAGTAGACTTTTAACGACATTGTTCATCCTCCCCGTTTTGCTCCTATTTTATTCTACTTTAATTCCCCGCCTCCGATTCCAGCTATCCAATTCTCAGTCTGGAGACACCGGGGGGTCGTTTCACTTTGTGTACAGATCGCACGGTACACTAAACGAAACAGTTTTATTAAACTTGCATCAATTTTATACCTCCGTTCCCGGCATTTATACAAACGAACGGAATCACGTTTCGATGCACCGTTCTTGCGTCGCATTCCTCGATCTCTTGAATTTCGAACGATCTCTTATAACGATCCTCTGTAATTCTGGACCAAAGTACACGACACCGATCAACTACCGCCAAGTAAACTGAAAATATTTGCTCTGCCAGGAAAAAACAAACATACAAAATGGAAAACCTTTACCATATTTCTGTACGATTTCTTTTCTGCTTCTGTTTTACATTTTAATTTGCATTCAAGCTCGAGCTGCAACCCATGTTTCCTTTTACAACTTTGTAAGTGTGCAATCATAAAGAAATTTGACCTTGAAAAAACTGGGCGAGGTCAAATACTTTTCCTAACATCCAATACTTTGATGAATTTTCAATCGAGAATATTGGTCTAGGAGTATCGTGTTTCACGATTATCGTGGACCGCATGAATTGCCCAAGATATATTGTTTGTTACGCCGACAAAGGGTCCCCGATACGTTTCATCGGGAAACGAATCTGTCAACGAAAGAGCGTAGGAAGCGACGCTTAAATCGTTATCCTCGGGATAGCCGACGTCTTCAATTAGAAGGATGTTCTCGACACCGGAGTGTCGGTGGCTTCCGAAACCGTCGTTAACCAACCCCTTTTGCCTCCTGTTCGCCCCGGGCGGGCCCTGAAACGTCATTCATTCTACACGCCGTGGAACACCTCGTAAAACACGAGTCGGAATGCACTGCTGAACGAGGGTCACCGAGGACAAAGGGCAAACTCGCGAACGGTGAAAAAGAATCATATATCGAAGAAAAGAAACCCCCGTGGGACGCCACAAATAACCAGATCTCGGTTGGAAAGCGCAAAAACGATCGTTTAGAGGCTAACTCGAAACTTAAACCAAAGTTTAGAAAATTCTATTTCTTTTATTTAAAAAAAAATCTTTCATTTTGTGTTCCTATAATTTATATATGAAAGACCTGACTCACTGACACATCAACGCCTAGGCTAAGCCCTTGAACATAAGAAGCTGAAGTTTTGCACAGAGGTTTCCTTTATGATGTATACAAGAAATAAGGAGGTAGAAAGGGGTTGCAACGTTTGTATAAGGAATATTTTATTTGTGTTCGGATTTACTTAAAACTTGGTTTTAATGCTCTTTGACATAATTAATCAAACACCTGTTTCAGCATTTTTTTAAATTCTACCCCTGGAGGGGTGAAAGGGGATTGCAACGTTTGTATGGGACATATTTTGTTCGTTGTCGGTTTGCTTCATACTTGGTCTTAATACTCTTTAATATAATTGATCAAACACTTATTCCGGTTTTTCTTTTAAATTCAACCTCTGAAGGGGTGAAAAGGGGTCGCAACGTTTGTATAAGGAATATTTTATTTGTGTTCGGATTTACTTGAAACTTGGTCTTAATGCTCTTTGACATAATTAATCAAACACCTATTTCGGCATTTTAAAAAATTCTACCCCTGGAGGGGTGAAAGGGGGTTGCAACGTTTGTATGCGACATATTTTGTTTGTGGTCGGATTTACCTGATACTTGGTCTGAATGGTCATTGACACACTTATTTCGCATTAAAGTTGCCTTATTTCCGTAAATGGATCTAGTAACTTCAAATGTAACATGTAAGTACGTAATTATTATCTTATCACTAAACCGTTGCAATGGTGTAAATACGCCTAAATATCGGCATGGGTGTCGTTATGAAGGTTTTTTGGGACGTTAATTACGAAAATGGTATCAATTTTGAAATGTAAGATGGCGACATGACCTCTATAGAGGTGAATGGAGGCTTAAAAGGTTTAATGGAGGAAACTAAACAGTTTCCTGTGCGAACGAAGCCGCGGGCAAACGCTAGTCGGTAATAAAATTACTAGAAACCGTGTACTAAACAACTGTCGCTGCTACAGTAATGATTCTTAAAATGAATCCCATACATGATTCGTAAATTGAACATTTCTATCCCTCCCTGTATCGCTTTGTATAAAGATCTGTAGGTGTCGAATTTCGCCTACGTTCTACGAAAGATGAACTCTGGGACTAAGTTCATTTTACGAATCATTACTGTATTAAGAGAGCAACGTCGATGTTTCGGTTTATAAAATTCACGATGGTCCAAACTTGTTTCGATCGATAAATATGGTCGTGTAAAGTATTCCGTTGCTTGTAATCCTCGATCGATTGTCCTCCCCCGCCCTCTTTCTCTCTTTATTTTACAGCCCATGAATATTTCTCGCGATAATGACTCCCTGCAGATAGGGAGTTGCCGTTTCGCGTCGTTCCCTTTCTTGCAACTGCTGGCCGTAATGTTCCGGACAGTTAATACCGAATTTACAATTAAGATAAGCCGCCCAGTAAACTTTGCCGCTGCGTCTGAATTTTTCTCCCGTGAAAATTAATCCCACTGAAAACGATACGAAACACGATCGACGAAGCCGGTGAGAATTCTTCGTTCTTTTTTTTCAACGTCAACTTACGACGTAAACGTTACAGTTGCAACGTCCATTATCTCATGCACCCCAAAAACTCGTAAATGAAAATTGAAATTTAACTGCATCTTCTATATATCAGATTATCTCCAGCAATGAATTTTTACAAAATGAAGATTATTATGGCGACCACAAATTTTGTCAGGCAGTATTTCATCCCAGTTTTATTTTATGAACATTCTTTTAAGTAGATACGAAAGAGCCATCAGTTCTGAAAGGATGAACACGAGAGGGGAATGTGAATGTTTTCATCTCTTGACTGGACTCGATACAAGTAGCAAGCAAGTTTCTCCATAAGATTGGATAACGGGGGTCGCGACCGCCTCAAACAACCCCTAACTATAGATAAAAGCCCCAAGGGGCGGGGTGAGATATGAGGGGTTGTCATTCGTGCTAAGTTAACACATAGTTAGCACGTGTTCGCGGACACCTTTTAATGGTCGACATGATTTATGCAACAGGAGTTTTAATCCTTCGAATGATATAGCTCCACGGGGGATGATTTATTATCAATCGTAATTTATTGCCGGGCCATGGATTGTTCGCACAAACGCTCCTCGTCGTACAAAAGTGGCAAATATTCTTAATGAAACGAAAACTTTAAACAACACATAAACGACTCGTCAAATAAAAATAAAGTTAACTGTTCCAAACGTCACAAATGAATTGTCCCTCGAATAAAATTTTTCATTCTATACTCGTTCGTATATTTCGAAACGATCGTCGCAAATAACAGATAGCAAACGATGCAAGTTTCAAGAGTACATATGCTGCACCTATTTTTAAAACAAGTCACGAGAAACGTAAACTTCGAATACGGCAATAAACTTTTATACCGGTGCATTGTAGTTGCTAGAAATAAGGATCGTTTATGAACTTTATTCGTCAAAGGAATGAATTATATACGGAATTGTGCCAGCAAAGGCTTTGAGCCGCAGCGGACTGTTTGTTTCCAAGCATAATGCCAAGGAAATTTTCGATAAAAATGAAGTAGGTCAACCCAAGGCCAAGGTCGATCTTCAGAAAGGCCTAAGAGCCTGTAAGAATTTAAAGACTCTGCGTTGTTCCAAGTTATTTCCTCGTGCCAAATTAAACCGTGAACTCGCCACTTTGAAACGCTGCCAAATTCGAAAAATGTTGCACTGTTCTCTTCCCTATGCTAGAAATCTTACAAAGGATCAAATAATTGATTCCTATTCTTAACATGCATTTGTAATATTCAACATTTTCTAAACCGAAGACTTCCATACCGACTTGTTCTCCGTGCAAAACAACTATTTCAAGATGAGAATATTTTTAGAAACCAGTTTTTAAATATCTACATTTCACTGTTACTCTTCCTGGTTATTTTACATAGAACTGTATCGCAATTATAATATGTTTATTTAAATGATTTAAAAACACGAACGTGATATTTGGTTTGAAAATATTTAGGTACGCGTATAAAAGCAAACATGAGAAATACAGTACATTTATGTTAAAACAAAGATCTTTACTTACCCAAAGGATCTAGGAATATATTATAGCTGGTTTCTTTATGATCTGTGGAATTTCTGAATGTTTCACATTACTGTAAACAAAAACCCAATATAAAAAATAATTTTAATGGAAATCTTATGCTTCGCCACTACCGTTTTTATTTGATAAAATCGTAATATTTACTTTACTTACGCTTGAAGAAGTTCAACACTGAATTTTCTGAAGTGTTCTACATTTTTAGATAAATATGTACACACGACTCATTATACTGTATGACGAAATTGTTCTCTGCGAGTTAACGAAACAAAATATGATTGTCGCGTTTACGAATCAGCAACAATCTGCACGAGGACATTTTGGTATATCGGAAAAGTAGCAAGGAGAGTAGGTGGATTCTCCACAAACACAACGAATGCAGTATCGCACGCAGGAAGCTGTTTTTATTTTTGGGGGTGGCGGACATTGATGAGGAACCGGTCCAGGAGGTGATGGACACGGTCCAGCGACGCACACGGTTGGTGGTCGAGGCGGTACTTCCGGTCGTGGTCTGCACACCTAAAAAAAAATGTTCGATGTTAGTTAAAAGCTACAGATATTTTAATTTAACGCGTTTACTCCAACTGAGGTCTCCAACAATGCCACTGTGCAAGTAATTGTCAATATTACGAGGAAATCAATTAGTAAATGAACTGTATTGAAAGAATTAAAGAATACATGCAGTTTTAAAAACAAAAGGCCTTAATAAACCTTACAATGTTACAGTTTCAAAATGTATTATTATGTTTACAAAAATTTATAAAGTTCAGTTTTGTTCGTCGCTGTATACTTACTGTTTGTTGTTAGTGAAATTTAGTTAGAATATTTATCAAACAAGATATTTCAATATCATTAAAATCAGTGGTCAGTAAAGTAAATATTAATTTAATTTTTGTATTCGAATATCTTTTCTGTATTTTAAATAACGTTGAATAATTTAATTGATTTTAATACATGGTCACGTACCAATGGCGGACATACAGGAGGAGGACAACAAATTAGGGGTGGATATTCTTGAGGAGGGGGGCAACCATATTTCGGGCAAACATATGGCGGTGGTTTAGGGCCATGACAACACGGTGGCGGTAAGGTGCTGTTTCTTCTTGATTTTTCTTTACGCGGATGACATATCATTCTTCTTTTGCAATTTTATTTACATAGAAACCAAAGGGAGTATGCCAGAAAAGAAGTTCTCAAAGCAGACTTCATATAAAATTTATGGACACTATGGGAGGAATCATTATGCTGAGATAATTACTTCAAGTTAATCCATAATAATTTAAGAAATGTACTGATTTTATTACACCGGAAAATTTCGATAGAATTCACGCCATGAACATACCTTCAAATTCATTTTGAATCGATCACGACCGAGAAAAGTAAGACAAAGATATCTCTACTCGTAAAAATTGTATACATTGAATTTTAAAATTAGTCCACTGGATGGCGTTTATGTCACCCTGGAAAGAATATATCACCATTTAAAAGAATGAGACAATTTGAATTGTTAACATGATTCATACGATAACCCTATGTACCACACCAGTTTAAAACTGAAACATTTTAAGTTGTGTCATTTATACGAATAAACCATACACTTTATATGTATATCATTTATAAATATTCAAATATAGTATAATCACAGACGAGGTATACGAGCAGATCTTACAAATTTTTAAGAAAAATCGATAAGAAGTGCCGAAATTTTTTGACAAAAATAAAAAATTTCAAATCTTCCTGGAAAAATTATTTTTAGTTGCGAGGGTCCATCACAATAATTTTTGGTGAATACACATACCCGCGAAATCATACGCACTTTCGAGAAAAAAATTCCTTACCGACAATATAATGTATACCCGGAAATGTTGCCCTGAAATTTCTTGCGTATGTTTAAAACATCATAACTTCTGAACGGATTGGAGGATTTTAATGTTTCAAACGGCAAACAACGCATATTTTAGTGAAGAATATATAGAAATTCCAAAAATATTCCAAAAGTTGTTTCGTGACCCCGTAAAGTGAGAAAAATCCCATAAAAATGGTCCAATTTTCAAACAGCTATAACTTGTACAATAGTGAATATATTTCCATGAAACTTTTTTCTGAAGTAGAGCTCATGGGTACCTACAAAAAAGTATTAAACAACTTTTCTATAGGGCGTCAAACTAAATTACTAAAAATCAAAAACGAATCTTTAAGAAAAATCGACGGGAGGTATACCTAAATTTTTCGGCGAAAAAAAAATTTCAAATCGTTTTGAAAAAATTATTTTTGGTTGCAGTAGTCAATTACAATCATTTTAGGTCAATAGATATACCCTCGAAATCCTGCGCACTTCCGAGAAAAAAATTCGTAGATACTGTAATTTTTCGACGGAAATAAAAAATTTCAAATCGTCCTGGAAAAATTATTTTTAGCTGCGGAGGTCCATTACAATCATTTTTGGTGAATACACATACCCACGAAATCATACGCACTTTCAAGAAAAAAATTGGTAGGTATTGAAATTTTTCGGTGAAAGAAAAACTTTTAATTATTCTGGAAAAATTATTTTCGGTCGTGGGGATCAATTACAATCATTTTTGGTGAATACACATACAACCCGAATTCCTACGCGCTTTCGAGAAAAAAATTCATTTTAAACGCCATTTTTCCTATTTAAACCACTGTTATAAAAATGATTTTAACTTGAATATCGACATTTACTAATAACATCATTTAACTTAAAAAGCAATTCTCCAACTGCATAAGTAATTTAATTCTTAGTATTTCGAACAATCTGTCAATCCTTGCAGTCCAAAGTATCGTAATAAATAATTATACGTACGTACGCAACAAAGAGATATTGCTATTAATAGTCATGCATGAATAGAATTTAACGGCAGCATTTGTGAACAGGTTTTCCATAACAATCGAACCACTTCAAACCACAGTTAACTATTTTCACTGGCGGTTCCTCAGGAGGCAGACATTTTACTGGACGCGGGTAGTAGCAAGCTGAATACGAGGCACTGTTAAACAAAATTTATAATATCAATATTCTTCCTCGATAAACTGTTACAACCAAAATAAAAAAAAATGATATTTCTTTCCACTTTGATGGTTCTTGATTGATAATTTTGATCCCTGATATTAATTTTATTCGTACCTATCGCAAGTGTACGTAAGCTGGTAACGAACTGCAGACGAGCCAATAGCTCGTGGCCGAACATTTGGACAAGGTGGACATCCTGTACCTATAGTAGATCGCGTAGAACAACGAGTAGGAACGCTTGGTGGGTATCTAATTAACGCTTCTTCCACAGTTGTCATTTTCAGTCGGTCTTTCTACCAAACGGATAACGGAAATTTACTAAAAAGATGCAATTTGTTTGAAAACAGTGAAACGATACTAAAGAATTTTAGGTTAGTCGAATCAACTTGAATTTAGCGGTACACAAGAGAAAACCTCGATATTATGCAATTGAACGATGTTCGCAATCGTCTTTACTGTTCGTTCAACTGGAAAACGGAATACGAGTAAACATCTTAGTAACAATGGAATATACACAATTTCTTTCAATTCCTAAAAAAATGGGAATTTAGGATGCTCATTGTATATCAAAATGGTTAATAAATTATTTATACTTCTTACTGAAAGTTCCGGTATTATTTATTGACCAACTCTGTATTATTGGGAGATGTAAATCTAAAAGGGTAGTTTTCGCCCTTTGAACTTGAAATACCGAGACCATTTGCTTTTTTTCTCTGGGTTCAGCGTCGTAACAAGTATACAAGTATACGGTTATTAATCGTTACGTTATAGTAATTGACTCGTAATTTTGGTTTTCTTGATGAACTTGAGTAGATCCTGTATTTTATCGTTATTAAGATTAATCTTTAGTATATTCTCTAGTTTACGTTTTTCGCGTTATATTTTGGACATGTTAGGATAAGATGATCAGATCTTCCATTAAATGACTGTGGGTTCGTCAGCTTTTTTGTTTCCTTTGTTGCCTTTTGTTAGTGCTATAAATAAGAAATACTCATCTGTTCATATTTGTCTAGTAGCAGATGGAAGGAAATATTGCACGACAAAGAGAAGGTTGGAGTAAAAAATTAATTTGGATGCCGTACGAATCAAGTCGCCAGTCTTGAAGTTCTGAGTTATTCGTTTATAAATAAAAACATACAGAAATATCATAAATATATAGGTGAAGATAGAAACAATAAGAGAAACAATTTGGTAATCACAACAGATATTATAATAAATCGTATCTTTACAGAGGCAGATACATTGTAAAACGAACAAGGGTATTTTTTCACGTAACATACACGCAGTCGTACATTGATCCAGGAATCGATCGGCGACACTATGTACAACACAACCACGGAAGCGTGCACGATGTTGAGACCCGCTGAGGACGCCGGTTTGCACGATTACAATTTGGCACGCTGTGCACCTACTCGCCTAGTCATACCAGTATCCCTGTGCGTACTTAACAGTTAACCGATCGTAAATGCACTAATCTCCTCCGATCGAACGAGACACTCGGAATACGTATCTTGACTGACGTCTGTCCTTTCTACGTTACAACTAAAAAAAAAAATGTTCATTCTCGAAAACAACGGAAATACGTTACTTTTGACAATTCCGATTTCCGAGAAAGGAAACGCGCAGGATCAGAAACCGAGTCCCCGATTTCAACCCCAGCCAAACGAACCCGAACGAATAATTAGCGTACGTCGATAGATAAAAAAAAAAAAAAAAAATGATGTAAAAGGAAGGGGGAAAAAAAAACAATAAGTACTTATGGTGATAATGTTACACAACGAATCACTGTACTGCACTGTATACGCACTTTCAGTTTCCAGTTTCTCTGTTCGAGAGAGCTCGAAGAATCCGTCGACGTCCACGCCATCGATTTCGCGTTCGTCGCCAATGAAAAACAAAAGAAAGAAACCAAGCCGCGTCACGTTATTATTTTAAGTACATCGATCAACCAACTGTTTTTCTTCTTACAATTTCTCGCAATAAGTACACGACGATCGCGGTTGCTCTACCTCGATAAGCGTTTCGTTTCCCCCTGCGTTCGTTCATTTTGCCTGTCGGTGATTCGTTTCTCGCTTCGGTTGCTTTTTTTAATTTACAGGACGGACAGAAGACGACTCGAACGATCCGAGAGTCCAAACCTCGCCAAACGATCGTGAACGATATCGGTGAATTTCCGGTGTAACGAGCGTCCGTTCGCGCGTTTCCATCATCGGCTGACGTAGAATCATCCTCAGAAAGTAGCTATCACCGAACGTGGAAGCAACAATTTTTTTTGTGCTGATAAACACTACCGAACTATTTACAAGGTAACTTACTATTACAACTTATTAAAAACCTCGACAACGAAGAACGCTTTTTATTCTGTTGCATCGCGGTATCGTCGGCTCACTGAACAATTACTTTGCACGCATACTCTTTCTCTCTCGTTTCTCCATTTCTCGCATCATCAATTTAAATAACTAATTTATGTACAACGCACACACACGAGTCGTCGATATAACGATCGAACACGTACCCTCTTTTTGTCTTTGACGAAATCGTTCTGCTCCACTGCTATCACCGTCGAGGTCTGGCATTTGTTGTTAACAATAAACGTTCGACGGATGGAACAATAATGGTCAACCGTGGATCGAAGCCTGTAAGCAAGGATAGTCTGTGTACACGGACAAAACAATTGGAACAAGAGGGTGGACTTCCCAAAATTAACAAGAACATTCTGCTCGAATTATGAGTTATCACTTCCCCCACCGAAGGAACAAAGAACAAAGACGAGGAGAACATTCGATCAATGAACCAATCTATAACGCTGATTCCTTTTACGAGTTCGATACTCCCTTTTCTAGACGCTAGCAGTGGATAAGAGGTTGTCTAGAAAACTGTAGCGGGTTCTTGCGTCGCGTAAACACTATCCTAGGACCCGTTTGAACGGTTCCTTTCGCTAACCAATTTCAATACTCCGACTGGATATACTTAAAATTGCCAATTGTTTCGATCTCTAGAAACTTTGGTTTCCTGGAGGCCTGCAAAACGTATATCTTCTGACATGTAAAAAAATACGACAGGTTCTAATCGGATTATAAAGTTGTGGATCAAAATGATTTAATACGGTGTTTAATGAAATTTAGTTTTTTGGTCGACACAAATTAGAAATTCTGAATTTGCGTCGATTAAGGAAGTCCGCGATTGGAAATCTGTCCCGCGATCTGTGTTAATTCTTTAGCTAATTCGCGAAAACTGAAAGTACAGCTAACCGAAAGAGAGAAGCTTTCAGACGCGATATTAATTTCTAGTCGCTACACAGAACATGGGGAGCGTTCACGAGTCTCCGCTGTGATCTTCGTACTCGTTCGAGCTTCTGAGAATGAGAGTGACATAAGACGAACAATTCTTGTATCAAATGGCGAACGCTAATTTCTCAGAACGAGACAAAATCGACTTACACCGCTCTCGCTTTTAGGATTTAACGAGCGATATAACAATCAATAACATGCATAGTTTCTGTCGTAACTCGACGCCGTTATATCGTTGATCTCGTTTTAGCTAGGGAATATCGTTTTGTCCTTAAACGGAAGCACCTTTTGTATCGTAGTCGCGCGAATCAAATCGTTCAACGAGCACTTGACTGTCTGCCTGCGCGTCATCGTATCCCAAGTTATGATAAATGCGATTCGTTAGTACACACGATATTAGACAACGATAGCGTGGAACGTACTGGTTCTAGAAACTTCAACATCTAATATTTACTTAAGTAACTAGTTTGTCGTGTAGATTTTTATGTATTCTGTCGGCTAGGGAATGATAGACGCTGCGTTACCCAAGCTCACGAAACGCAACCTACCAGCCGTTAAATGGCGCCATCCGTAGAAACATTCACAACAGCCGTTCGATTCCGCTCCCGCATTAAGTACTGGCCACTTCGATGTACATATATCACAGTCTTCCATGATATTTTGAGCCATTCACGTGCGCTGATCGATCTCTCTTTCTCTAGCTAACCCCGCCCGGTTCGTCTATCCTCTCCATCTTCGTAAACGGAACTCGTCAATTCCTTGTACTCGAGGGCGAGCAAGACAAACAAGAATTCTCATTCATACCCCCGTCTCGGCCGCCGCCGCTCTAAACAAAAATATTTCTTGCCACATAGCCGGGACTAAGCTACTTTACAACTTTTTTTCAATTTTTTTACTTTTTCACGTTATCTCGAAACATTTTTGGTGCAGCATAATCTTGTGGTGCGTGTAATTTTGCATCATGCAGAAAGACGTTAATCGTTTTGAGCCTAAACTATTCAAGATTATTGTACACCTTGTGATAGACATTTAGATATGTTATCGATACCAGCGACGTCTAGTTTCGTACGCAATTAAGTGCGTCGACAGTTGAAACATTATCCTCGACCGATCGACGAACATCGTCGCGTACATTTTTAACCCGGTGACACCCGCCTGTCGCTTTCTATACGCGGCAAACGGACCCACCGAACATCGATCGGTGACCAACGCGTGGTCCCTTCTTGCGTTTCTAATAGTTCGCGTTTACATTTAATTTGAGGTCATCGAGAGGCTGTGTGCGTAAACTACTCATCTAAAGAACGTTGCGGGTACGTGTTTTGTGCTGATTCGCTCCCCATCGTCATTGCTACTAGACATCTCGTCGAGATCGATGCTCATCCTCGTTCCTCCTCGCGAGGTTTCTTGCTCGGCGATCGACCGTGTCACCCGACCGGAACGAGAACGTAGACCACTCTCGGGGACGAATCCTCTCGCGATCCGCCCGAAGACTCCGCGCGATCAACGGTTCCGGTCACGCGAGACGTCGAAATGGAAATGGACGCGTAACCGTCACTATGTGTTCGAACGGAAGTACTTGGCGACGCTGTTTATCATCTCCTGGCGCTACAATTGCACCTGAAACGCTTGCGTCGCGTTTGGCATTATGAAAGGATTCGTGGTGCTGGACTGCCGTAGGTTCCTCGCCGCGATTTCCGCCCACTCGGCGTCGAAGGGATCGGATGGACCAGTCCTGCTCGTTTGGCCCATCGCCGCCGAGCCGAGGGAAAGGGCTCTCGCGTGAAGCGGAGGCGCTCGTCGAGGACTGGTCTGATCCTGTGAAGGAGATTGCACTGATGACGGTACCGCTCCGGTTATACTGCCCAGCCATTGCTCTGGTTTTGGCAACGCTGCTGTCGTCGCAACTGGTTGTACCTGAAACAACAACGACTGGTTTCATTCAAAAGCTTCACACAAATATTCTATATAGAAACAAATGATTGGTTGCTGCAACGAACATGGTGTTACGTGCCATGCTTCTGATTAAATTATCTCTTTATCGATTCACGTTATATTCTTTAAATTACTCAACGACTACATCAAACAACCTCGTTGAGGGAGGAATTTGCAAAATATGGTATTCTGTTGTTTATCAAGATGGATTCTATACAAAAAAAACAATAACGAAAGTTGATATAAACACGTGTTGCTTATAAACACTAGGACTGTTTTGATTCAGAAGCTTCTTTAGAGAAATATTCTATGTAGTTTTTAAAAGTTCGTTTAGAATTTCTAACACACAATATTATATTAACGCCATTTAACTTCATGACTTTTCTTATAGTATACATGCAATGAATTTTACAATATTCACTTCTATTCTTATTGTATGTTTTCTGAAAAAAATATGTAGTCTGTCTTGCCTACCACAACCGATCATCTGACTGGTTGAATGATTTATATTTTTTTGTAAAAAAACTGGACAAAATTCGGTGCCAATTTCTGGTTAACTTCCGACGCAAATAGGAAATATATGTGTAGCAGAGACGAAAGAAGAAAATCTTCAGTTTCCACTGTCTTAGACCAGACTAACAACGCGTATTAAAATGCGTGTTTTATTAATTATTGAGCCACTGTTAGAGGCGGCAAGGCCTCCCCTTTAAAATGGTTTTAGTTTTGATTTAAAATTTTGTTTTCCTGTTTAGAATCCATCTCTGAAGTGTTTCAGAAGTCAGACGCGATAAGTGTAGAAAAGGTTTACCTCTGTGTTGGAAATCGCGTTTGCAACTGGAGTGTGTCTGATTTGGTTAGTAGCTACGCTACCGGACAAAGTGGGAGAAGAGGATGCCACGCTGGTGGTCGGGGACGTTGTTTTCGGAGTCGCCGCGGAATTCACTGGGACCGGCGACCTGTTCACAGCCGACGTAGACGTGTTCCCCAAGGAGGATGTGGATGCTGTACTGAAGGCAGGACTGGCCGACGGTGGAGTCCCAAATACACCAACGGCGGTGGTATGTGCCGGGGTACTCATTACGATCGGACTGGTAGCACTTGTTCTTGAAAGGATAGGGCTTAGGTTAGTAGTTCTATTTAGGATCGGCGTAAGTCTATGATTCGAAGCCAACACGGGCGACGGGGAGTCTTTCCAAATCGGTGCAATGTGGTTCAAATTACTGAGATCATTGTTCTTGTCGTTATTGTTATTGTTGTTGTTGTTATTGTTGAGACTCGGCCCATTCTGTAATTTCATCTCCGACGACGAATTGCTGCTTCTCACTGTAACAAAGCACGATACATTTATATGCTTTCTTGCGTATGATATAGAAACTATTCATTCTATAACGAATACAAATTTTAGATTCGTAAACTACGTTTATAAATTTTTTTAAACTAATATTCAAACTAGCAAAGGAATGGACGAAAATGGTTTCGACAATGGTGATTCCGTTCTATTGAAGAATGACCCCACCTGGTGAAGTATTGTTGGTGTTCGTGAAGAGTTGTTTAGCGACCGAGCTCGCGCTGCTGTGGATAGGCATAGGCCCAAAATCGTCGCAGCTCGAAAGAAGGGAAAGTCCTCTGGAAAGCTGTTGACACATCGCTGAAACGCTGTCTTGACCCCCGGGCGATATCTCGGGTATTGGGCTAACTGTAAAACCAAGAAGAAAACTTCAATATCAATAATTATGATAAACGACAATTAACACACTAAATCTGATGCTTCGAACTGGTGCTAGAAACTATAAAACTCATGCTGCACGATATGTGGGCACGTGTTTATATCTAATGAGTATGCATAAGTGAAAGAATTCGATGAACAGAAAATCTGAAGCGCAGAAACGAACCTCCTAAATCGAGAACATCGAGATACAACTACATGAAACATCCAACTACGCCACCACTATCATGGATAACATCGTCCCTCTATTTCTGTCCTTTCTGCAACTCCTTTGACCCGTTTAACTGTGTTGATGCAGAATCGGGCAAAATTTATTCGCCATTAATACAAATTTTAGGTTCATTCGTAAACTACTCTCGTTTATGTTTCATTTACGAAGACGTCTGTAAATTAGAATTCATAATTTTTGAAAACATTCAGCTAAAGATCCGAGTCTAGTTTTAGAGTGAATCTAAAAATTTCATTTGACCGATTCTGTACGAGTGTATGCACTCTGACAAGAAATGTAATGAGACTGAGAACGATTTCTTATTCGATTTTACATTTTCTCTTTATTTATGTTAGGTCTTTTAATTTTAGTTTCGAGAAAAGGTAGAAAATATTAGCGAAGTTACAGAGAATTCAGTCTCGTTACTTTCTCAATGTAAGTATGTACATGTACAGTTGAACATGTGCATGAAACTAGCATAATCCAAGAACATCGAAGGAGGGGCAGGCAATATGGACAATTAACAGAGTGGGGGAATAATGACCTTCGTCATATCCTTCGAATTCTGTTGCAAAAACGAAGAAGCACATTATTCGATGTCCAAACCGGCTCAGAACATAATCAAAACTTGGTATTCGTTCAATTTGAGCTCCTCGATTGCTTTCGATATCGAGAATAACCTTCGACTATTTGAGAATTCGTATATTAATATCGAAATAAGAATAAAATTATACTTGCTCTATAGCTACGGTTTTCTTTATAAAAGTAGAAATATTGTTATATATCTTAAACGAAAACTGAAGTCTGATGTCTCGAGATTTAAACAATAGCACGTTTCAAGATTTTTCATGAGGTTTGTTTCGTATAAAATTTTTCTAACGTAACCTTGGGCAGTACGATAGCCTTCGAACGCAACTTACAAAGCCTGTTGCGATTGTCGAGTGTCTCAATATTTTCGTTACATGGCACACTATGGAATGTGCGTTCAAAAGTATAGATTGGAGACTGTGTCCAACGAAATTGCTCCTGTGTCGCGACGGATGATTAAAACATTTACCTGGCGGTTTCAAAGGTACGTTGTGAGACATAGCAGATGGCAATCGCGACAAGTCCGTCGGCTCAAGACTGTGGCTACGTGTGCGTTCGAGGTTGCTAGGAAGATCATTGATCCGTAAACTGAGCTGTCTCTTGAACGGAGATGCTTGATTCAGTTGCGTAAAACCGCGGAAGGAACCTTGCCGTTCTAACATCGAGGGGGTAGCGTGTGGTCTCTCGATCGCAAAGGGGTTGTACACCTGCTTCACTGGGGGCACATCTGCAAGAAGAGGATACACACTTACCAGAAGACAATTTCATCTTCAATTAAAAAACATAGCAGCTTCGATTTGAGAACTTCCACGAAAGATATTAAACGGAAAACTTTTTCAGTTTCAAGGTGGTACATTAGGGCTCGTAAATATTTTAAAGAAACATTATAAGTTGTTACTAATTATTAACACGCAATGTTATTAATTTGTTAAGAATTTAATAATTCGCGTGAAAGAAAAATGGCTGACCAACAGCACGTTCTCGCGAATCCTGCAATCGTTCGGTGAGACTCGGTTGCCTAAAACTGCCGCTCCTCGTGAACGTCGAGGTTTTCGAGTCAAATGTCATCGTCACGCCGCATTCCTTGTCCCTTCGCTGTTTCCTTTCCAGACACGCAGCAAAAGCACAGCCCACTGCATGACTCAAACGTTCTCCCTGGAAAGAGTAAAAGAAAACGTTCCCTTCGTTCATTCGCATTTTAATCTATGTTTAGACCAGTGTTTTCCAAACCGCGAACCTCGCGATTTCGGAAGCGTAAACCGAGGACTAAAATATGGATAAATAGGAATAACTGGAAATTTTATCATTGAAATTAATTGAAATTAATTTTCACCTTTTGTATGGACTTCCAGAAAGTTTGAAAATCATTTTAAATCATCTGGACACCGACATATGACAATGTGAAATATTTTTTGGGACTTAAAGGCTTCTGTTCACCGTTCATTTAAGTTATTATATAATCCCTTACAATAATATTCCTAACACCTTTGTGTGCCTCACTTTGGTCTATAAAGTCAGCATAGAAAGCTGTTTGAAGGAAATCGATCATCAAATCGTCTTGAAAAAATAGTCCCTGGACTTAAATTCAAACGAATTGACTCTTTGCGATTATATGGGTCCAAAACCGTCCTTTTGCTTAGCTTTTCATGCATGGTGAGGATATTATTTAACTTGTTTAATATTTTATTTAAAGTCAACAAATTTTACTCCCATAAATGCAGAAATATTTGTATATTTAAATAGATATTTGTACGTTTGGTTAATGATGAAACTACGTAGAACTAAAATTAGAGTTTTCGAGGTTTCCTTACCGATTCTTTCGCCGCTAAAAATCCGTGGCACATCCACCGCCTGGTCGTCCCGTCCCTGCATATGTAACTGAATCCTTTCTCGTGATTTCTATCCGGGGCGCAGAACGAAACTTTCTCGATCGTTTGATCGACGATCAGTCCTTTCGTCTCGTCTTCGACGACCCGCAAACCGTCCCCGGATACGTGTAACACCGCGCGAACCGGTCGCCGTCTCGAGTTCTGTTAATTCGTCGCGAGAGAAACAAATTAAATATCTGCCTTCCATTAACAATTGTACTGAACGGTGAAAAAATATAACGAAACGTTATTTGCCACTTACTCTAAGTACTTTCAAGGCTTCCTCGCATACTTGCATGCCCCTCGACTCGAACACCTCAACACATCCCAGGTACTGCACAGGTCAGATTGATTGTGTTAGACGATCAATAGTGTGTGAAGCTTGATAAATATAAGTCTTGGAAGCTTAATTTCCAGTGTGTCTTCAACTACACCAATAAAATTTCTTTATTAAACAGTTTGAATCTTGTCACGTGTGCGAGTGAAAACGAGAACGTACGAGGTGCTTCGAAAATTATACGTGGTCTGTTCGAATTTGGAAAGATTATTAGTGGAAAATTGATACACTAGCCCTGAACGCCAATTATCCGGTGCTGGACTATCCGCGTGCCAATTATTCCAACGTCCAAATTTACGGGACGTTAATCATCCGACTCTTAATTAGTCGGACGCGGGTACAGAAATTCTTGCACGAGGCGCGGAAACAGTTTTTCCAATTAACCCAATACGATTACAAATTTATCGGTCGAAATTAACCGATTACCGCGCCTCTCGTTTGTACGAAACGGTGGTCCAACGAAAATGTTCAATTTATATTCTTTGAAAGGTTACAAATTTTTTAAATCGTCTAACATCGATATTTAATTAATAGACAAGTTGATATTTTATCGAAGGAAGGCAAAATACCTTGACATTTAATTAATATATTTGTATTCTTTGACTTCTATATATTATTCTATTTTTTCAACTGTTCGAACATCGAAATATAATTTTTAAAAATACAATTAATAGAGAAATTTACATTTTGTCGAACCAAGCCTAAATGTTTTGACACTTAGTTTATATATTTGACTTCAGATTGGAGTCAGTGGCCTGTACGATGTTAATGGAATAATATTTGTAATTTTATTTTCTGTTTGAGACATTTCCTAGCCCAGATAATCGACATTCCATTGCGTTTATACGATAAGCGCGCGAAGTATTGAACACTGTACCTTTACGTGAAAAGCGCATGTAGCCGAACGGACTGCTGTCTCGTCTGCTTGCCATTGATGGGGTTTACTCGATTCTGGTACGTGGGAATCTTTACGCCGTCGAAAGCTATCTCGAAAACTCCGCCGGAGTCGGTCCATTCTTTTCCCCGGTGACCTCTCACGCTTCTGGAAAAATAAGAAAAAAAGAAAAGAAGCAATTGTCTACGCGAAACGAAATCAAGTCGTTTAAATTCTTATCCGAATGAAAACTGAAAAAATGAAGTATTTCACTGGTGGATCAAAGTTTGATCGTTTGATGGAACAAACTGTTTCTCTTTTTAATCTTGAAAACTAAAATTTAAACGAAAAGAAGAATGGAGAACGTTTGGTATCCACGGATGAATAATTCTTTGAAATTTAATAGGATCGACTAAAATAAATTTATCGTAACAATGACAGGTTCGTTGATAATCGAGAAACGAGTGGATGATGGAAAACATGTTGTAAGATAAATAATCACTGCAACGGCTGATCTAAACTTATCGAGGCCTGAAACTAATTAGTTTAAGAGACGTTATCCCTGTCTGAAATATTCTGTAACGAGCAAATGTTTAAATTAGATTATAAAGACATGTTTATGCTTCGTTATTCCCTTTTATGCCATTTTGTGCAGTTTGAATAAAAGAGTGAGATTATTGCAACTTACTTTTTGTAGATTTTTGCTATTTTGTTTATTAATTATATGTAATTCCCTCTGTTTATAAGGGGAACCCATAAATAAAACGTATTGTTAATATATTATCACTCCCTTCCAGTTCTCTTCTCGATTCGACGATTACGTAATACGGCTAAAGTATTAAACCAGTTAAGGCATTCCATTCTAAGAATCGTAGAGTGCATGGCACGTTTAACAATTTAGATGTTCAAGCTTAGAAAATCGAACGCAGAAACGTACTATCGTCCATAAGTATAATCGCACTTATGGACGTGGATACGTACAATGTTGATAGTGCAATGTTTCTGAACAAATTAAACCGATGCAAGCACCTTTAATAAAAAGCATTGAAATAACGTGTTGCAAGCTATTTCGTTGGAAAACAGTTTTTTAATTAAATGGACCAGGTGGTCGTTGCTACAAATTCTTTTGAGGCGATCGTTGGAAGGAAAAAGAGGGTTTCCAATTGAAGATGGTATTATTTTAATGCTATTTGGATAGCTCGTATTAACCTTAATAACATTTACTTCAATCATTTTTTTTTTTTATTGCACATACTCGAGATTTTCCCTAAACAAATTCGCAGAAAGGATTTTAATTTTTCAGTATAAAGTTTCTAAACAGATTAAAGCGGTACAAGTACCATTACTAAAAGTATTGAAATGGAAGACGGTATTATTTTAGTGTTATTTGAATGACTCGTATTGACCTGAATAACATTTAGTTCAATGAATATTTTCTTTTATTGTACATAATCACACAAGGTTTACCCTGTCTCTGAATAAATTCGTAGAAACGGTTTTAATTTTGTAAGTATGCAGAATGAAAACAAAAATGGTTCGAGTAAGTTTGATAAGAGTTATCAATAATGATACCATAATTTAATACCCCCATTTTTCCTAAAGCCAAAGCCTCGTTAGTGCCAGGGTAGATTCGCCCCTGGATCATAGCGTGAGAGAGTAAATCTAGTATTCTAGGGCAGTGCTACTTAAAGGGTTCTTGGTTCTTGGATCGTTAGCGATCGATCGCGACGTATCGCCTGCCAATGGTGAATTCTTAAGAAGTGTATAAAGCATCGAACAACGAAACACAATAAACAATTGCAGTTGCATTGCTTTCATCGAAAAATAGGTCTACGTATTTTTACGACTAGGTTTCAACAAAACTGTGTATTTCTATATTATATAGTATATAATTGTTCTCTTCCTCGATTGTAAAAATATCATTATATTTTCTCTCGGTACACCAATGGATGTTTATCCGTATAATAAATTGAATAAACTAAATTAAACTGTCAAGAAAACAACCTTGTAATACCTTTCCCAGCCTTTACTCTAATTTTCTCTGCAAAATTCAATTTCCGGATCGACGTAAACATTAAGTAACTCGTCATTTCTGCTCGAAGGGTTGATTTTCTTCGATTACACTTTTCCGCTACGAATATTGTGTCTTTCCGTGGTGTGCGTAGATTTGTTCGTTAAATCTCCGATTATTCCTCGAGGGCTCTGTTACAGATTTCTACGATGAGACTTTGAGAAAAATGGTGGAAGCCAGTGTCTGGCAACGGCCTCGGCGCGTTGCGTGGTTTTACAAAGAACCTGTGATCGAATCTTGGCCTCGGTTCCCAAAGAATCTTTTATATCAGAACCCTCTTCGAATTCTCCCCTAGTACGGGACGTCTACCCTCCTAAATCGGCACCCCTGAGGGTTCGTACTTGAGCGGAGCACCGAGTTTGGGCCATCCACAGCCGTGCTTCGAAACCTGCACGCGCGTTTCAAGCGTTTCATGAGTTGCTGATTCCGACGAGTCTGCAAGACGAATCGCAGAAACAATCGAAGTATCGAAAATAGAATTTTAAATAATTAAAATCCTCGTGGAATCGTGGCTGTGGGGATGATATTAATTAGAATAGAAATTCTACTTTCAACCTGACGTTGGAATTATTTGTTTTACGATATCGTTAAGGAAACTTATTTGTGAAGGAAATCTTGAGTCGAATCGTCCTGAAAGTCACGCTTCTGCTGATCGAAACACACTTTGGAGCATTTTATGAGCTGCTATTAATTTCAAAAGGTCCGTAAGTCAAATTAATACAGAAATACATAATTGGAGTTCCCACGATGAATAAATAAAATTAGAACGATTAAAATTCTCCTGGAATCGCGGTTAATCTGATATTGGTTTCTTATTACTTTCAAATCAGAGAAACAGTTCTGTGGATTAAATCTCGAAGAAAGCTTCTAAATTATTTTTGTATAAATAATCAAACATTAAATATAATTTATAATAATTTATAAATTATATAATTATATAATAAATATTTCTTTTAAATTTTCAGAGTTTGTCGTTATTCGTTTATAAGAAATATATAAACACTATACATTGCTAGCCCATTTTTGTAACTTGATTCGACTATTTGTTTACTTAAAACTCTCATACTTTTTATGCTGTATATAAGTGTAACAATATATTCAAATTTAAACATTACATGTGTTAAATACAAGCTCTGAAGTTCATGATTAATAACTTTCACGAATTTATATAAAATGTTCAGGACTTTCAAACGTTTCAATCCCCATAAAGAATCTATGAACAGTTTGAAACAAATTTTACCGAGCGAAGAAAAGCTTGTTTACGAATAAATCCAACATTTTCATTCGTTCTATATCGATAAATAATTTGTGTCGTCTCCATTGACTAGCGGACGTTTACCGACATTATTTATCGAACGCAATGTTCAAAAGTGCCATAAAACGATTTAACTTTGTGAAACCGTTAACGACCAACAATGGCGGCTTCCGGTTCGATCGGACCGGTACACAGAAGTATGGCTGCGTTCGCCAATAAAATCAACGACTGTAAACAGCATCTAACCGCGCGCAAATGTTCCCAAGATTACACGACGATATTTGATCCTATCTCGCGCGCGGTTCGCAGAAACGCATTCGAAGAACAAGCAAATATATTATCGCGTCGATCCGCTTTTGCGACGATAGGTCCACGTTCGTGGAACAACAATAGATTATGCAGCTGTACCCACCACTTCTGGCTAACGCTTATGAAACGATACCCGCGCTACGATAATAACAGGACGCTTCTTTTTTTATTCGATTGTCATCGTAGGAGGACCCGTTAATGGTTAAAACGTGCGAAAGTAAGCACTCTCGAAGCAATCGGATTACTCAACTATTTGCTTAGCGTAGTAATAGGCTTAGCAATACGTTCGAGCAGCGTTCCTCAAAGTAGGTCCCCCGAACACGTGTCGATGGGAATTTTCAAGCTCTCGAAAGAAAAAAAAGTGTTATTTAAAGCATCGAGAAAAATGCGTAATAATTTGTTGCTTCCAAGGCGGTATTTTGAACTAGTAACTTGAAAAGATCGATTCTTTCTTTCTTCGTTTTTATTAAAATCTTTGAAAACTCTGAACGCGTTTTTCTCGAACCAAACAAAAAAAAAATCGTGAACCATATTCACTTTAAGTTAGCTCATGTTTATTACTTTATTTATTTATCTGTATCGTAGTAAAATATCTGAAGAGAATCAAAGCATTATTTTACTGTTGATTCGTTTCGTTTTTACAGATCGATAGTTAAAATTGTATGTAATTAGTTGGTGGTTAATTACACGTAATTCATCGTGGATTCGTTGGAGATCATTTTTCTATCGCAAACCGAGAATGCAAAACGTAATAATGAATCGTATCTTTGTATCGAATACCTCTCTCGATTGTGTCTCGAGCACGTCGCTATATTTGCTCCGACGACTATACAGACTGATTTCGTCAATTAAATTACGCTCAGACGCTATTCAATTCTCGGTGACCCCAGTTTGTGTAACAGATTTCAGCTTATACCGGGTGATTCGACAGGAATGCATCGCCATAACATTCTCCTTTTAGATATTAAACTATGTACAAAAATAAATATAAAATTTAACCATAATTGAAGAGAGAAATCAACCCTTTCGTCAGAGCCTTCCCCATCGATCTAGGAGCTATCGTAAACGTCGAAGCAGAGTAAAAAATAGTCGAAATAAAAAATAGCTACTTAAGGATCAAGACAAAATTGAAAAATGATTCCAACGACCACGAGTGAGCAGATCGAGAGAAGAAAGACGAGCATGATATGAGGAACCGATATGAATCATTGAGTCGGCTTGTACAGCACGCTCTGTTCGATGTCTCCCACTTACAACTTTCTTTTGCTGGAACTTCGTCCGTGAGTCGATCGATGAGTAAGTTTACAACCATCCGGAAGGTCTCGAAGCTTTACGAGAAATAAGAAAAATAAGAAAAATTGAAAAAAAGAAACAGTAATCGATTATAAATTGTAGATTCTATTACTCTTCGAAGACTCATTTTGGATCAAAACTGTGTACGTTTCTACGATCAACGAAAGCAAAATTACAACTAACGAGAGAACTAGTCTTCAGAATTATTAAAACGTAAACTAAGAATGAGTCGACCACAAA